AATGTCTTCCTTCGGGGGAACAGTGACTTGGACAAGCAGCCTGGAACCCTGAAGGCACAGGCTGTGCTGGCCGCACTCCCTTGCAGTATTCCTCCGTGTCTCTTTCCTTGGGTTCCAAAGCTCTTCCCAGGCAAGATTCTGGACAGTGAGTGGGAGTTGGCTCTGTCGTTACTTGGTGCAGGTGACTTCAGGGTGAAGGATGGATTTGGGGTGAACTGTGAGTAGGCGGTTATCCATTGCCCTTGGGCTGTGAACCTCCTCACCCCCCTCCACAAGCCCTGGGTTTTTCATGGAATGGAGGAGTGTGGGAAGGCATCTGCTCCGGAGCCCGTTCCACCTGGGCGCTCGGACCCTGGCAGGAGCCCTTGCCAAAGCACAGGGAGCTCCTGGCTGTCCCTTCTCATGGCACTCACAGGCTGCCCACGCCTTCAGCCCAAGCCTGCCCAGCAGAGCCCAATCCGCAGATATTCCTGCCTTCAAAATGCCGGTTAACAAGTTCGCATTCGCCCTGTTTTCCAGGGTCTGAAGCTGCTCCACAGGAGTAAAAAGGCCTTTAAGTCTGAGAGAGCAAATGTGCGCAAAACACACCTGCGCCAGGCGGCTCTGGGCTCACGGAGATGGTTATGGGCTGGATTCAGTCCCGGGAATGTTCTTCTGAAGGCCTAACCCCTAATACTCAGAATGTGACTGTTTAGAGGAATGACCTTTAAAGAGGTAATTAAAATAGAACGAGGTCATTATGTGGCCCTAATCCAATCCGACTGGGTCCTTGCACGCAGAGGAGATTTAGGACGAGGATACACCTGGAGGACAATCCTGTGAGGACACAGGAGAACTCGCCGTTTAGGAGCCAAGGAGAGAGGCCTCAAGGCAAACCAACCCTTCCGATACCTTCCACTCTCCAGAAATGTGGGAAAATAAATGTCTGCTGTTTGAGTCATGCACTCTGTGACATCACAGCCTACGCAAACTAACAAACAGATCAATGCAAAATCCCCGCAAGCTCTGAGAATGACTGTGTAGCAGGAGGTGCCAGCACAGAAGACGTGGCGTGTTCCGTTGGGAAAGTCACAAGCCTCTCCTCTGACCACTGCACTCCCCACCCTGGATGCTGGCAGGGGCCGAGGCGTTCAGTGAGGCCCCTCTGGTGTCTCTGTCCATGGAGCTCCCTCCATGCCTGTATTCAGGCCCCAGCTCAGGAAGCTTCCTGGGAGAGTCCAGTATACATCGAGCCTGTGCCAGACAGAAGTAAACTAAGACAGCCTTCATGCCTTAAATCTCCCCTCCCTCCTGCAATTACTGTGATCTACATGCCTCTTACGTCTGACATTCTGAAAGCAACTTGGTCTGTGTCCGTCTGTCCAGAGAGCTGGTAAAGGGCATGACAGCAGAACCTTGACTGGAGATTCTGCACGGGTGTCAGCACCAGCTGAATTAAATGCCTTTTGAAAGAGTGATTATTGGATGCATTTGTTACTATTTTCTCTATGAACTATAAAGATCGATGCCACCTAAACTCTCGGGCGGGATCCCCTTTTCCTTGCCCCATAATGCACTGCCCTTGGCAAACTCCTACTCATCTCTCAAAACCCAAGGGTTTGTCTTTCTGAAGACAAAGCTTTCTCCACTAGCTGAGCTGATCAGCCCATCCTTAGAATAATCACTTGTTAAACCCAGTGACAAGGGTGCTATGGGCTATTTGTGTCCGCCCCTAATTCACATGTTGAGCCCCTCACCCCTAATGTGGTGGGATTCGGAGGTGGGGCCTCTGGGAGATGGTTAGGTTTAGATGAGGTTGTGAGGGTGGTGTATTAAAGTCATTTTTCACCGTTCTAAAGGAATACTGAAATTGGGTAATTTATAAAGAAAAGAGGCTGGACTTGCTCACTGTCCTGCAGGCTGAACAACACAGAGCCAGCATCTGCTCGGCTTCTGGGGAGTCCTCAAGGAGCTTTTACTCATGGTGGAAAGTGAAGTAGGAACAGATGCATCACACGGTGGAAGCAGAAGCAAGAGAGAAGAGGGTGCTACACACTTATGCAAACGGATCTTGCAGCTCCCTGCTCACTATTGCAAGGACAGCACCAAGCCATGAGGGACCTGTCCTGATGGCCCCCACACCTCCTGCCAGGCCCCACTTCTGACACTGGGGACCATGATTCAACAGGAGACTTTGTGCGGGCAGCATACAAATTGTATCAGGTGGAGCCCCAGGACAGGATTAGTGCCATTAGGAAGAGGAAGAGATTCCAGAACTTTCTGTGTCACTCAAGGACATGGTGGGAAGGCAGCTCTGCGTGGACCTTGAAGCTGGGCTTCCAGCCTGCAGAACTGTGAGACACCACCATCTGCTGCTGAAGCTGCTCAGCCTGTGGTGTCGGTGATGGCAGCCCTCATGGTGCACTTGCCCACGAGGTAGAGACTTCTGCAGCCAAGGGGCTTCCACCTTTGCATTCAGCACCTGGTCAGAGCGTGGACATCCTCTCCTGAAGATTTCTGGAGGCCCAGGTTGAATCAATGGCTGCCTGTCTGAGAGCTTGAAGGAGCTAAGGAGGTTGTGTTATTTAAACTGGGGCTTGATGATTTCAGTTCGTTTTCCTCTAGAGGCAGGAAAACGATGACAGGCGAGGCCTCTCACCCCACTGTTTTCGGGAGTGAGGGAAAGCAACCACCCCTGAGTTGACAAGAAGACCACTCTCAAAGGCGATCAAAACAGACTTAGGCAAGCAGGCCCGTGGCTCCTTGACTCTCCTCCCAGGCTTCCTGTTTGTCCCAGCCACCAGCATCCTGCAGGCGCCGAGGGGGAGGATGTGGACTCGCTGCTCGCCGGCCGCAAGCCCCTCGCTGAATGTCCCAAGCCAAAAGTCACAGCGACATGCTGGAAAGACAGTTTCCACAGGACAAGGGAAAAAGGGGGCGTCTCTCCTGCCCATCAATGGACACACCCACCTGTGGTATTAAAGGATTTATACCCGGCCCCGGAAACACTGCCAGGGCTGTTCCTTGGGGTCTGTCTGGTGGGAAGAGGCCCCTCCTGTGGCTCCCCAGGCAATAAACAGCTCCAGCTTCCTGCGGGGGTGTGTAGCCGCACTGATAAAAAACAAAACCAGCCCCATTTCCGATCCTGAGCTCTTGGGTGGAAAGTGAATCCACGTAACAGTGTGGGCACCATAGTGAGACCTCACCTCTACTAAAAGTAAAATATAAATTAGCTGGGTGTGGGGGCTCAACCCTGCAGTCCTAGCTCCTCTGGAGGCTGAGGCAGGAGGATCACAGCCCTGGAGGTAGAGGCTGTAGTGAGCTGAGATGGCACCACTGCACTCCAGCCTGGGGGCAGGGGGCAGAGCAAGACCCTGTCTTCCCACCATCAAAAAAAAAAAGTGACTCCATGTGGAGAGAGGAGGGCATCAGGGCAGCCTTGGTCCTCGAGAGGGTCCAGTATGTGAGCTGCTTCCTCTATTTCTAAGACCTCTCACCGGGGGTGCCAGGTTTTATGCACATTTTTTGTATTTTGTTGGGGGTTCGGGGGGGTGCTTTTGATGATTCTCACCGAAACATTCTAGCTCCTGTGACCCACTATTTGAGCACCCAGCTTTTTCCTAGACTGCCTTCCATATGTAGTACACTTAGAGTTGGCCCTTTGTTCTAGTTCCTTTTGAAATGGTCTCAGTTTGACTTCCCTTCCAGTTTCTCTCCTCAAAACTGCCTCCCAGCTAAGGTGGGACATGCGCCCCTCCCAACAAGTGAAGCTCTCGCAGACCACAGTTGGGATCTGGCACCATCTGGTGGCAAGCAAAGAGCTGCCAGCTTAGCTTCTGAATAACAAGGTACCCATCCAAGTCGTTAGCAGTGAGCTAGAATTCAAACCTCCCGCAAACGTGGAAGCTAAGGGAAGTGCACACGGGACAGAGTGCGGGCTGCAGACACCAGAGACTCAGAAGGGTGGGCGGGTGAGGGGCAGGCAGATGATGAGAAATTCCTAAATGGTGCACCAGAACTTTGGGAAGCCGAGGCGGGTGGATCACCGAGGTCAGGAGTTCGAGACCAGCCTGGCCAACCTGGAGAAACCCCATCTCTACTGAAAATGCAAACAGATTCACCGGGTGTTGTGGCGGTCACCTGTAATCCCAGCTACTCTGGAGGCTGAGGCAAGAGAACTGCTTAAGCCTGAGAGTCAGAGTTTGCAGTGAGCCGAGATTGCGCCATTGCACTCCAGCCTGGGTGACAGAGCAGGACTCCATCTCAAAAAAACAAAACGAAACTTCGAAGACTTCACCACTATTGAAGATATCCCAGTAACAAGATGGCATTGTACCCCTTAAATTTATACAAATAAAAAATTAATACGAAGATCAGAAAAAAAAAGCAGCAGCAATCACAGACACCACATGCATGTGTGTCCTACTCACGGGAACCGGTCCATGGTTTTGCCCTGTAGGGGTTCTCAGGAGGACAGTGTCATGGCAGCCAGGCCCCAGCAGGCTGCAGGTCTACTGTTCTATCTCCGGTCCTGCTGTAGAAGAAGAGCCATGAGCAGGTGTCCAGGTCTCACTCAGGGTGATGGGTGCCATTCTCCACCGCCCCCGATTCTTCTCCTGCCTCCTGCCTGCTGCAAGAACAGAGCTCAATTTTCTCATCAGCTGGCTCTCCATGGGAGAGCCACTCTCAGTCCGAGATGCCTCAGCTGCGGGTGTCTCCCTGCCAGCGGAGCAGAGGTTGGGGCTAGACTGTCCCTGGTGGTCTGATCCTTCCATCTCTCAGGCCATCCTCTGAGGCTGAGTCAGCGCCCCTGCGGGGAGCCCAGAACCTTGATTTCTGTACCTGTCAGGTGGTTCTGAGACAGGTAGTGGCTGCATGTAGGGATGAGCCTGTTGGGGGAAAAAATGTCCCCGACTGGTAAATGTGGGTGTCTGGAGTATTCTTGGGTATCATCGACCTCACACTCTCTACTGGCGTGCACACTTTGTGTCATTGAGTTCTTGTGTCAATATAAAAGATTACCCAAGCCTGGGTAATTTATAAAGAACAGAAGCCTCATAGATCTAAGGCTTCTGTTCTTTATAAAGAAAGACGTAATTTATAAAGAAAAGCCTCAATGATGTATGATCATTGGCTCATAGGTCTGTTGGCTCTACAAGAAGTGTGGTGCCAGCATCTGCTTGGCTTCTGGTGAGGCCTCAGGAAGCCTCCAATCATGGCAGAAGGCAAGGGGAGCAGGAGCTTCACATGATGAAAGAGGGCATAAGACGGGAGAAGGGTCCCTTTGAAACAGCCAGCTCTCGCGAGAGCTCAGAGTGAGAACTCACTATCACAAGAACAGCCTCAAGCCACCGATGAGGGAACTACCGCCACGATCCAAACTCCTCTCCCCAGGCCCCACCTCCAACATTGGGGATCACATTTCAACATGAGGCTTGGAGGGACACACATTCGTACCATGTCACACTTCCCCAGTCTCACACCCCAGGAATCTGGGTCAGTCCTTCCCATCAATATATTACTGTCTTTTGCATGACTGGGGGCTTTCTGGGGAAGAAGGGGCGTCCCCCAACAAATGGCTTAGATCAAGCTGACACGTGGTGGGGGCATCCGCTTTCACTCCTTGTGAAAACAGATATTTCTGCTTTCTCTTTTGGCACCCAAGGAAAAATATATTTGCTGCAACAGAAACCAGAAGGATGGTGTCCAAGAGCTTCAGAGACGGGGAGTCACAGCACCCCCAGCCTTTGAGTCCTGTGGTGTTTGGGGATTTCAGAAGCCACAGACAGACATGGAGAAAATGTCCCACATGACTCTCCTTCCAAGCATTCCTTTGCTTTCACAGAATGAGAAATAATGCTCCTGAATGCACATGGCAAGGCCTGAAGAAGGTATTGGGAAGAAATGTGCTGTGGAATGTTATGGATATGCATAGTCCCACATATGAACATTATGTATAGATCATTATTCTTGGGCTTACTATTAATAATAGTAAAGTGTATTCATTTCCAGGTTGACTGAAGCTGGCAGAAGATAGGAGAGCTCTGTGGTGGAGGGAGCTGTTTCTGGAGCCAGACGCACCCTCAGTGGAGCCTGAGGTCCCTGCTACTACTGAGTGAGTCTTTCTGAGCCCTGGTTTCCTTATTTGCAAAGTGTGAGAAGGTAACAGTTCTTTTCCTATGGCTTGTTGGAAAACGCAAGTGAAAGAGTGCATCATATCTGGCACATCACGTGCTAATAAAGTTTGCAATAATTATCTGAAGACAATAGAACTCATTCAGAGACGCAAGGAAATCAATGTAGTTTTTTTTTCTTTAAGTTCCAGGATACATAGGCAGAATGTGCAGGTTTGTTACATCGCTGTACATGTACCATGGGTTTGCTGTACTTATCAACCCATCGTCTTCGTTTTAAGACCTGCATATGTTAGGTATTTGTCCCAGTGCTCTCCCTCTCCTTGTCCCCGAAGGCCCAAGAGGCCCCGGTGTGTGATGAATCAAAACCACAATGAGATACCATCTCACACCAGTCAGAATGGTGATTATTAAAAAGTCAGGAAACAGGAGATGCTGGTGAGGCTGTGGAGAAATAGGAACGCTTTTACACTGTTGATGGGAGTATAAATTAGTGCAACTACTGTGGAAGACAGTGTGGTGATTCCTCAAAGATCTATAACTAGAAATATCATTCAATCCTGCAATCCCATTATTGGGTATATACCCAATGTAGATTTTTGACACGTAGGTTTTCTTGTGAATTGAAAACTATCAACTTTAGGCTAAAAGCAAGAACTGTTTTTTCTTTATTTGGCTCAGTTTTTCATTAGAAAAGAAACCTCCCCAAATGTAAGGAAGCAAATAAATGAAAGGAAAATTACAACCGTGGGGAGTCATTACGTTGGAAGGCCTCCCTTGGGACAGGGCGGAATATAATCGCTCCATTGCTGCAGTCACGAACCATTAGAGAATGCCCTTCCCGGAACTGGGCGAAGTTTCCACAGGTGATGCCTGCAAAGGATGGGTCCTATTGGCCTCTGAGGCCTGTGTTTAGGTGGCTGCTCTTTCCATATGGAAAATCCCCATTGAATATGGGAATCATGGCCATGGGATCCTTCACATGATGGTCAGGTGTCCTTCCTAGTTCATTGCCCTGAAGTCCAAGCACCAAAAGGCACCGACCTGTTGAAAACATGAGGTCATTCTGCTATAACCAGAGCTTTTCTGAACCCCAGCCATTGGAAAGCCTTGTTAGTATGATGCCCATCCATTAGAATTGTTAGTGCTGGCCGGGCGCAGTGGCTCAAGCCTGTAATCCCAGCACTTTGGGAGGCCAAGGCGGGTGGATCACGAGGTCAAGAGATCGAGACCATCCTGGTCAACATGGTGAAACCCCGTCTCTACTAAAAATACAAAAAATTAGCTGGGCACGGTGGCGTGTGCCTGTAATCCCAGCTACTCAGGAGGCTGAGGCAGGAGAATTGCCTGAACCCAGGAGGCGGAGGTTGCGGTGAGCCGAGATCGCGCCATTGCACTCCAGCCTGGGTAACAAGAGCGAAACTCCGTCTCAAAAAAAAAAAAAAAAAAAAAAAAAAAAGAATTGTTAGTGCTACGGCTCCAGGAATGAATAGAAGAATTTAGCCTTTGCATGGGCAACATGGCTCCAAGAGCCCTGGATTTGGGGTCAGAGAACCGAGTTTCAAATCCTGTTTACAGACTGTGTGATCTGCAGCAGGTTCGTCTTTCTCATCTCCATGCATTTTTATGTAAAACGAGGTAATAAAAACTATCTAGGGGGTTACAAGGAAGAAGAAAACAATGTATATGAAGTTTTGATGTACAATGCTTAATGTGTGTATATAGAGACATGTACACACAATACATATACGAATGCATGTGTGCATACATACACATATACATCAAGCGTTGTACAACTAATATATATATACATTGTACAATTTATATACAATATATTACAATATCTATTAGTGGTACAACTATGTATACACAGTGTACAACTCCATAAAATCTGAGTATGTAGGAAAAAAGGTTTAACATATCAGTAATGTTAAGATTGTTGGCCTGGTGCAGTGGCTCATTCCTGTAATTCTAGCACTTTGAGAGGCCAAGGGAGGAGGACTGCCTAGGCCTGGGAGTTCAAGACCAGCCTGGGCAGCAGGGTGAGACATTGTCTCTATTTTTTAAAAATAAGATTGCCAGAGATTGTGGAAACCATAAGAACGGACTTTTAGAATATTTATAAATATAATGCTTGTCAAACACTTCCTATATGTTTGATAAGGTAGGTTAGTACCAAGCAACATTGTTACTGTAGATATAAGAGGACTGTCTATCTCCTTGAGACTCTCAGTAAAATCTCTGAAACTTTGGATGTCTGTCTCTTTCTCACAGGTTTTTATTTGTGCATAAAGCGTTATGCACAAAACAGTCTGTGCCATGTGTGTTAGGAGAAAAGCAGACACTGGCAACACTAGGAACAAAAGATGGGACCAAAGGCCACCACCCACAGACCACACACAGACCAAAGGCCACCACCCACAGACCACACACAGACCAAAGGCCACCACCCACAGACCACACACAGACCAAAGGCCACCACCCACAGACCAAAGGCCACCACCCACAGACCACACACAGACCAAAGGCCACCACCCACAGACCAAAGGCCACCACCCACAGACCACACACAGACCAAAGGCCACCACCCACAGACCACACACAGACCGAAGGCCACCACCCACAGACCACACATAGACAGAGGGAGCGAGTGGAGTGCCAGTGAACTCGGTGTAAATTTCTGCCAGATATGGTCCCTCCATATTGAGTGGTAGCAAACAACAGCACGGAATGCTTATCTCACTGGGGATGTCCCAGGTACTGCTGTGTTTGGCTATGTTTCCTGTTGTGCAGAATGTCTGCCCCAGTTCCTCCTGCATCTGGCCGTGTTATTGTCTCAGAAGCCACAAGACAGTGTATGCCCCATGGCTGATACGCCCATTCCCGATGTCACAGCGGCACGCCCATTCCCTGTAGCCTTTCAGACTCAAACCTAAGCATTCCTGTTCTCGTAACTGGACGTACTGGGCAATGCCAACAGCAGTGTTTGTTTTAAAGCAGTTAAGTTTTGGAGAAACAAATTTTCAAATGTCAAATTCAATACCTTGCATGGGAAGGAGGTGGCGTTTTGAGGAACAAGACAGCCTGACATCAGGAACCTGCGTTCTGCTCGTGAGGATGAACTGCCTTCAGTGACCCACTCGGAAGCATTTCTTTTGGCTTCTGTTTTACCATGTTTGTGGTAGGAGTTCCAGGGGGAGTCATGGCCACTGATTCAGATCAAAGGCTAAAGGACAATGGTTTACAAAGGCTTTAGGTGACAAACCCTATGGAGATTCTGAGTTGCAAAAAGTTCAGGAAGTCTAACTTGAGAGTGACATTGAAGGGAGGAAAGTGGTTCGAAGTGAACAGTGGCTTGTACTGGATGGAGCTGAGGATTGTTGAGATGCCATTCTGATGGGATTCTAATCGCATTGAAATAGATATATAGGTATTTTGAGATGGAGTCTCACTCTGTTGCCCAGGCTGGAGTGCAGTGGTGCAATCTCTGCTCACTGCAATCTCTGCCTCCCAGGTTCAAGCAGTTCTCTTCTCTCAGCCTCCCGAGTAGCTGGGACTATAGGAGCCTGCTACCACACCCAGTTTATTTTTGTATTTTTAGTAGAGATGGGATTTCACCATATTTCCCAGGCTAGTCTTGAACCCCTGACCTCAAGTGATCCACCTGCCTCTGCCTCCCAAAGTGCTGGGATTACAGGCATGAGCCGCGACGCCTGGCTGAAGTATTTATATTTTTTAAAGTCTACCTCCTAATTGTATTTCATCTGCATAATGAAAAGACATGCACAGAAGGGAGACAACATGAAGACACGGGGAGAATGCCACACCAGGGACTGCAGCCATGTCCCGGCCACCACCTGAAGCCCCGAGGAGTCACGAACGGCTCCCCTGCCTGCTTCACAAACAGCATGGCCCAGCCACTGCCACCATGCCAGGCTTCTGCCCTCCAGACCTGTGCCATGAGAGATTTCTGGTGTTTGAAGGCATCCACTTGGCGGTGCTTTGTTTTGGTGGCTGAAGGGAACAAGTGGAGAGTTTGGTAAAGAAGGTTTAACCACTCTAGCAAGCAAGTCTCACTCCTTAGAGAGGAGAGCCCGTGGCGGGCTGGTGGTCCTCTGCACTCTCCAACGCACACACATTCACACACACACACTGACACATTTCCACACACACATTTTAACACACAGACACATTCACACACATTTCCACACACACATCAACACATGCACTGATTCACACATTTCCACACACACACATCAACACACACTGATCCACACATTTCCACACATACACACACACACACTCACAGACACATGTAAACACATCTCCACGATGACACATTTCAACACACTCACACACATTTCCACACACCTTGACACATGTCCACACATACACATTTCCCCTCACACACACTGACATATTTCAACACACACATTTTACATACACAGGCACAGACACACACGCTAATACACACATATCAACACAGACATACTTTTCAACACACAGATGCACACATATTTTAACACACACTGACACTTGTCAATACACACACATTTCAACACACATATTTCAACACAAACTGACATGCACTGACATTTTAACTTATACACACACATTTCAGCACACACACGGACACACACTTTTCAACACATTCACACACAGACATACAAATACACATACGGACACACATTTAAACATTCACACACTAGCACACACACTGAACACACTTCTACTCAACACATACACACTCTAACACAAATCACACAAACACACACATTAACACACACTCACACTCACTGAAACACATTCCCACACTTAGATTCACTCACACACCCACACACAATGTCTCACACACTCACACCCCTCGGGGCCTGCACCATCCCTTATCTCTCACCCGCACATCTGTCTGTATTTCAGTCTGTCTGTCTGTCTCCAGGGGCAATGTAGGTAGGTCACTAGCAAGACAGGAGAACGGAATCCAGCTAGCATTCATTTTCTCAAACATACTGTAAAAACTGCCATTGTCTTGTGATGCTTTCACTTCTTTATTCTGACAGAGGTTGTTATTGTTAGGATGAAATAATTCTTCACTTTTTTTTTGAGACGGAGTCTCGCTCTGTTGCCAGGCTGGTGCAATCTCGACTCACGGTAACCTCCGCCTCCTGGGTTCAAGTGATTCTCCTGCCTTACCCCTCTGAGTAGGGGGATTAAGGATACACGATACCATGCCCAGCTAATTTTTATATTTTTAGTAGAGACGGGCTTTCACCATGTTGGCCAGTATGATCTCAGTCTCCTGACCTCACGATCTGCCCTCCTCGGCCTCCCAAAGTGCTGGGATTACAGGTGTGAGCCACCGAGTCCAGCCTAATCCTTCAATTATCAAACAATGACAAACCTTTGCCTCTACTAACCTATGCTTATGGAGTTTTATCCATGCAGCAAACAATTATTTACGGAACTCTTTTTTCTGTGTTCAATGCCATGCTAGCTTATTACACATTAAACAGACACAAACCCTGCCCTTGAGGGGGTTACTGTTTAAGCCACTGAGCACACAGGGAGCAAACCTGTTATGAATTGTTGTGAGCACCAGGAGCAAAATCACGGACAATGGAGGGGATGCGCTGAACTCCCCGCCTCAGCCCTGTCTCCTGATGGGCTTGTCCTCCTCCCCACTCAGCCCCTCCTGCTGGTGGTTAAAGCCTGATCCTATTATTATGATAAGCACAATCCTTCCAAATCCCAGTGTCCAACACCCCACTGCCAAGCTCCTTTCTCCCCAGCTCACTCTCTCCACCACCCTCCTTCCAACAATTCTTCAACACCTGGACACCTGCAGTCAGCTCCTTTTCACTCTTCCTCACCCTTTGACTTCCTTTCTTCTGACTTGGCTTAAATCCCATAGCAGTCACGCAGGTTGCTGCCTTGAGTTCCTTTCTAGTGCCCTTGCCACTCTGCTGTAGCGCAGCTGTCAGGTCCCTGGGTAAATGTGCCCTCCACTCAGCACCCGCTTAACCCTGGAGGCTGGGCACATTGCACAGCCGTGGGGACCAGTTCTCCAGAAGGTCTCGATCATGAACCCCCGGAGGCCCCTGAGTTGGCCGGGAAACCATGTTAGATGCATCTGGTCCAGTCACCACCGCCCTCCCAGAACAGGTTCCTCCAACTGGTCTAGCCCCTCCTCCACCATCATCCTGCTCAGCTGACATGCTCAAATTTTGCTTCAATGAAAAAATAAACCTGTAATTACTAGTCAGGTTTCTCTAGAAAAACAGATCTATCACGGGGATTGGTTTATATGGAGCCCACAATTTGCAAGCTGAAAATGCAGGAAAGCTGGTGGTGTAAGTTAGTCTGAGTCTGAAGGTCAGAAAAACAGGAGCTCCGATGTTGGAGGAAAGGAGCAGGTGGCCGTCTCAGCTCAAGAAGAGAGAGAATGAACCCCTTCTTTGATGTTGGTTCTGTTCCTGCCCTCAGCGGATTGGATGCCCCTCCACAGTGGCGGGAGTGCATGCTCTCTTCTCAGGCTCCCTATCCGAATGCTGTTCTCCACTGCAAACACCCACACAGGCGCTCCCAGAAAGAAAGTTCTACCAGCTATCCGGACTCCCATAGCCCAGTCACGTTGACGCGGAAAATGAACCAGCCCACAGTAGTAACCCAAGAGGAACTTCCACAACATCCACACACTCCCTTGCTCCTCTTCCTGCATGTGTGTCCTCAATCCACCTTACAGGGTTTTTTTTGTTTTTGTTTTTGTTTTTCTAGAGAGAGTCTCACTCTGTCACCCAAGCTAGAGTGCAGTGGTGCCATCTCAGCTACTGCAATCTCTGCCTTGGGGTTCAAACAATTCTCCTGCCTCAGCCTCCTGAGTAGCAGGATTACAGGCATGTGCCACCATGTCCAGTTAAATTTTTTGTATTTTTAGTAGAGATGGGGTTTCACCATGTTGGCCAGGCTGATCTCAAAGTCCTGACTTCAAGTGATCCAACTGCTTCAGCCTCCCAAAGTGCTGGGATTATAGGCATGAGCCACTGTGCCCGGCCTACCTTCTTATTTTTCAAGGGACAAGGGGACAGGAGTTAACCAGACTGGCCTCAAACTCCTGGCTCCTTGATGTGTTGGGATTGCAGGTGAGAGCCGCTGCAGCTGTCCTATCCACCTTCTCTCCTGCATCTGTGGACGACTTCTGTGCTGGCCACAGCCAGCCCTCCCTGTGTGCACTGTCATCTCTTATCTGCCTCGGGGCACTGTGCAGCCATTCTCTCTTCTGCAGCAATGCAGTGAAGAAATTCTACGAATGGACATTCATAGAATTACTAAACACTATCTCATAATTGTAAAATTTCTCTCATTTGAATTTTTGAGAGTTAAAATGAAGCCAATGAATGACCTTGGCAAATCTTTAGAAGAGTTTTAGAAAATCAGTATTATAATTTAAGTGTTGTTTTCAATGTCTTATACACAGTATTTAAATATATCATCTTTGAATGATGTCAAATTTGTTTACTTTTTTTTTTTTTTAGAGACGGAGTCTCACTCTATTGCCAGGGTGGTGCAATCTTGGCTCACTGCAACCTCCGACTCCCTGGTTCAAGTGATTCTCCTGCCTCAGCCTCTCTAGTAGCTGGGATTACAGGCACATACCCCCCAGGCCTAGCTGATTTTCGTATTTTTAGTAGAGATGGGTTTTCACCATGTTGGCTAGGATGGTCTCGATCTCCTGACCTTGTGATCTGCCCACCTCGGCCTCCCAAAGTGCTGGGATTACAGGCGTGAGCCACCATGCCCAGCCTTGTTTACTTATTTTAATGTGTTTATATGATAGCACTAATCTACTCATCAGGTGGGTTGGGTATGTTACAGTAACAAACAAAAACCACTGCAAAAACTCACAAAAATCTCAGGAATTAGGACCAAAAAGGGGGTTGGCAGGTACAGTGGTACATGTCTACAGCACCAGCCACTCTGGAGGCTGAGGTGGGAGGATCACCTGAGCCTGGGAGATCAAGGCTGCAGTGAGTCATGACTGTGCCACTGTATTCCAGCCTGGGCAACTGAGTAAGACTCTGTCTCCAAAAACAAGAAACAAAAAAAGTTTTTTTGTTTTTGTTGTTGTTTGTTTGTTTGTTTGCTACAGCTTCCAGGCCAGAGGGGCTGGCAAGGTATCTGTAAGGATTATTACAATCTTTAGGGACCCACACTTAAGGAACGCCCCCCCACCCCAACAACATGTATTCCCATTGGCTGCCCCAGGAGCAGGAAAGGTAGCAAAGACTTTTAAAACTCCCTGCAGAGGCGCTTTCACACTTCATCGGTCAAAGCGAGTCCCATGGCCAGGCCTAATTTCACAGGGGACGGAAGGCACAATCATTCCACGGACTCTCTGTGAAAGGCCCTAATGGCATCCTAAGGAGAATGCAGTCCATTACTAGTACTGCTATAAAACACGTGTCCACATTTTATGTTTTAGGATGCAGATGATCAAACCTTTGTTTTCAATCCTGATTCTCCAGTTTTCCAAATACTGTCACCTTACTCTACCATCCTTGCTAGGAATGCTGTCTGCTAACACAGTCTGCCTCGTTTCCACCCTTTCCTGGTGTGGGAGAAGCACAGCCGACAGCCAGTGTCCCAGTGGCAACGGGTGAGATGTGCATCTGGGGTCGGCCAGTGCTTCATCCTGGGCGGGCAAGATTCCTGAGCAAGCTCAAAAGATCAGCAAAACATGGTCAACTCAGCCCTGGGGAAGTGCGGGTGACTTTGGAGAGGGGAGTGAGTGTGGGGTCTGTAGTGGGTGCAGGAGCCTGTGAGAAGGTGTCTGGGAGATGAGAAGCAACAGCAGCAGCTTTAGAAGATGCTTGGATGGGGTCAGGGAGGAGATGGAACAGCAGGCTGGACAGAGCCCGTTCCATGCCTGCTTCTGCCAACTGCCAGCCTGGGATGCCGGATGAATCCCTCAGTTTTTTTTTTCTTTCTTTTTTGAAACAGAGTATCACTCTGTTGCCCAGGCTGAAGTGCAGTGGCATGATCTCAGCTCACCCTAACATCTGCCTCCCAGGTTCAAACAATTCTCCTGCCTCAGCCTCCTGAGTAGCTGGGATTACAGGTGCCCATCCCCATGCCCAGCTAATTTATATATATATATATATATATATATTTTTTTTTTTTTTTTTTTTAGTAGAGACAGGGTTTCACCATGTTGGTCAGGCTGGTCTTGAACTCCTGACCTCATGATCCACCTGCCTTGGCTTCTTAAAGTGCTGGGATTACAGGAGCGAGCCACCACACCTGGCCAGATCCCTCAGTTTTCTAAAGCACAGTTTTGTTACCTGTAACATGGAAATAATAGGACCAATGCAAGGATGAGGTCTAGTTGAGGCACGTGACAGTCTCAGCACAGCACCTGGCTCCATCAGTGACAGTCTCAGCACAGCACCCGGCTCCATCGGTGACAGTCTCAGCACAGCACCCGGCTCCATCGGTGACGGTCTCAGCACAGCACCCGGCTCCATCGGTGATGGTCTCAGCACAGCACCCGGCTCCATCGGTGACAGCCTCAGCACTGCACCTGGCTCCCTCGGTGACGGCCTCAGCACAGCACCTGGCTCCCTCAGTGACAGTCTCACCACAGCACCCGTCTCCCTCGGTGACGGCCTCAGCACAGCACCTGGCTCCCTCAGTGACAGTCTCACCACAGCACCCGTCTCCATCAGTGATGGTCTCCATTATGACTTAATGGAATGGAGAGCTGGGATCAGATTCTGCTTGGATACAATCAACTCTCCTCCCCACCCCACAACCTGCTCCCGAAAAGAAAGCCCAGAACTAAGATTAAGAAGATTTGATTGGCCGGGTGCAGTGGCTCACACCTGTAATCCCAGCACTTTGGGAGGCTGAGGCGGGTGGATCACGAGGTCAAGAGATTGAGACCATCCTGGTCAACATGGTGAAACCCCGTCTCTACTAAAAATACAAAAATTAGCTGGGCATGGTGGCACGTGCCTGTAATCCCAGCTACTCAGGAGGCTGAGGTAGGAGAATTGCCTGAACCCAGGAGGCGGAGGTTGCGGTGAGCCGAGATCCCGCCATTGCACTCCAGCCTGGGTAACAAGAGCGAAACTCCGTCTCAAAAAAAAAAAAAGCTTTGATTGTTCTAATCTGCTCTTCCCCTCCTCCAAGGGGATAAATAAACTCTCCACTGGCTTTAAGCCAACAGCCACCCACACCTTGACCGCGTGAAGTTTCTTCTTGTCTGCCCCACCGAGCACGAAACAGGCACCACGTGATATGTTTTCACTGCTCCAATTTTCCACTTTCCAGGCCAAGACGAATGGACAGAACTTCCAAAACACTTTGCAGAGACAGCGACCGCACAAAGCTGCAGCTCACAGCCTTGTCCCGTGGCTGGGAGACAGGATGCACGCTGAGCCACTGGGAGGAGGGACAGAGGGAAAAGTGGCTGCAGCTGCTGGAGCACCCACTTGAGATGCCTCCTGTGTTCAGTCAAGTTCAGAGTGATTGCTTCCTCACTCCTCCTGGCAAAACTGTTCAAGCTTGGCCCCGTGACAGCTCCTTGTAGAGTTTTTCCAGCTGATGTCATTCTTCCTAAGTTCCTCCCGGGTCCCAGCTAACACGATTGTGTTCCACCAGCATCCCGACCTCTGCCAGGAGGAATTCAAAGGCCTATTTTTGTGAATATGTGGCAGAGATCCCAGGCTCCGTAGAGGCCTTTTGCACTGGGGACATGGTAGAAAATTAAGCCCGGCAGGTAACCACCTACCTGCACGGCATGAGACCAGCTGATTAGAGGAATGAATGGACAGATCCATGGAGGGATTGAGTGGGCATTAACACTGAGCCTTCTTGTGAGCTGATTGTGTGAGACTGCAAATTCAGGGGCCACTGCGCACAGTCGTGTGAGCTGTGTGTTGCAGCGGGCCTCTGGGGAGCTAAAATCCACCCACAAAGGGGAGCTTTTCTGACATGTACAAAGGACCGTAAGTGGTGGCTCAGACCTGAGGCTCTACCATGCAGTGAGTGCAGGGATGGAGAGATGGGGAAGAGACCAATACGAGCAGCACGTTCACTGTGTTCAACTAAACACGGCCTGAGAAGGACTCCGTGCTGCTCGATTTGAGTCCTGTGGATGAACCGTAACCTAGCTTAAGAGGCAGACAAAACTGAAGGTGTAACTTGGTAGTACGTGCCTCTGACAATAGCTGTCTTGGCCAACCCCAGCACCCATACTTCAGCCAATCATACACTGCAGAGTGTTCAAACTGTGTTCAGATAAGTTAAACACCAACCTGTGACCCACCCAGCTGCTCTGTACCTCACTTCCAATTTCTGTACATCATTTTCTTTTTTTGTCTACAGATCTCCTTCCACCACAGGGCTGTGCTGGAGTCTCTGTGAATCTGCTGTGATTCTGGGAGTTGCCAAATTCTTGAATCGATCATTGCTCAATTAAATGTTTTAAAATTTAATTCAGCTGAAGTTTTTTTTTTTTTTATTATCAACTACTATAGTATTTAAGGTTAGTTTCTTTCCCTTTTTTTGAAACTAACATGTACTGCGAGTCTGGTATGCCAGATGCCACGCTAAGCACTTTACTGATGTAATTTCAAAACCGCTTACAGGCTCCCTGCAAGACAGACAGATGCAACTAGACCCATGGCATGGAGCGCGAGACGGAGCCAGGGATCCCTGACCAGAGGTAGGTGGCCAAGCAGCAGGCCTGCTCGACTCGAAATCACAGGTTTTCCTTCACAGTGACTGCTCTGTCCTTCCTGAAGTGTGTTCAGTGAGGCATTTTATTCTCTACCCTGCATTCATAGATATTATGTAAAATTTCAAATAGTATCTTTCTGTGAAATGGCAAAAGTGTGATGAGAAAGGACCATGAAAATTGCTAAGTCTTACAAACATGACATTTTATTTATTATTATTATTATTAGTTTTTCGAGACAGAGTCTCATTCTATTGCCCAGGCTGGAGTGCAATGATCTCAGCGCACTGCAACTCCCACCTCCCAGCTTCAAGCGGTTCTCCTGCCTCAGATTCCTGACTAGCTGCAATTACAGACACCTACCACCACAGCTGGCGAATTTTTGTATTTTTAGTAGAGATGGGGTTTCACTATTGCTGGCCAGGCTGGTCTCGAACTCCCAACCTCAGGCGATCCGCCTGCCTCGGCCTCCCAAAGTGCTGGGATTATAGGCATGAGCCACCACACTCGGCCAAAGATGGCATTTTAAATAACGTCATTAGACATTATTGCACGAGTGATACAGTTATCTCTTGTTAGGATGCAGTGAACAGCTCCTAAAGCTGCTTTTTCTCTCTTTTTTTTCTTTTCTTTTTTTTGGCTCAAGGGCCAACTTGGAGATATTTGGGAAAGAAAAGAAAGAATAAGATTTCTCTGACTAGCTTCCCCGGACACAGGCTGGCCACGTGTTATGCCTTCAGTACCTGTGCACCATCCAGGCAGAAGTCACCCTCATGAAAAGAGAATTTGCTTTTTTAAAAAATGTGCTACTGACCTGGTGGGCACGAGAAAATTACTGCCAAACTGCAACAAGATATTGGTTGAGCTTGGCTTTGAATATCAACAGCAAAGCCTAGAAAATCAACCACAGAGGATTGGCCTTGGATTGCAAGAGAGAAGGAGTGATATCAACTGCCTCCTTGACCCAGTGACGGGATGGAATGTGCCGGCTGAGGGAGGGGTCAGTGGGCGGAGGGTGGCATCTTGAGGGTTGGGGCAAAGATTAGCTGGAACAGTTGACTTAGAGAGACAGGAGAGGATGGGGGAACCTGGTGGAGGCCAGCTGTGCCAAGAGTGTGGTGAGCCTGAGCAGGGCCGCTTGCTGGCATCGTAAGAGGAGCTCCCTGGTGAGTGGTCCTGGGGTGAAAAAGCTGTTGAGGGCTGGGAGAGCTTTGAAGGTGAAAAAGGAGATCAGTGTCCTGATCCTGAGCCTGTCCTAACTCCTGCAACTTCGGGCAGGTTGTGTCCCCTCCAGCTCCGTCAACCTTAAAAGGGGTTGGGTGTGGGGGGTTTGGATTGGCTGCCTCTGGGGTTTCTTCTAGATCACATCTACTCTGCGTCAACTGCAGGCCACTGGCTGTTTGGGGAGAGCCCTAAGGATGAAGGCACAGGGAAGGGGTACAGCTGGAACTGGTAAAGAGGCAGGACAGGGAGAGAAGGGTGGCTTGAGGAAGGTCCCAAGAGCCATTTCTTCCTGGTGGACCCTCAGGGATGTGTGGAGTCTTGGGGGAATCATCTAGAAAGGGAGGTGGGGTTCACCATGGAGGAAGGGAGGGAGGAGGCAGGGAGGGGCGAAGGTGCTGGGGCAGGGAGATGGGTATTTGTGGGAGCAGGAGATGGGGGTGAATGAGAAACATGGAATGGGAGACTGGTTGGATTCCATCTTCCCAGCTAAGCGGGAGTTTCCAGGAAAGCACAGAGGACAGTGTGTGGGGCCAATGTTGTGGGGCAAACATTAGGAATTCAGGGCCAATGCATCAAACATTTCCAGAAACGCATCAAGAGCACCACTCAGAATGGAGAGGGTGTGTTTACGCTGACATTCATGACCTGCCTTGCTGATTTTTCTCCTGGATCCTAGGGAATGGTTGTTACTGCTCAAGCATGATGGTAAAGTTGCCATCGTGTCTCTGACTTATGAAGCGCGATGTGGCCTGTTGCGGTCTGGACGGGGTAGGGAGAGGCTCTGTTCCCGTCAGCAATGTGTTGTGTCTGCTTGCTGTGGGGATGGGTCCGTCCAGCACACTGCCTATTATACCCATTTTTGGGGACCTGCAATTCGCCTCAAATACCAGGAATCCATCCTCATGTTACTGGATAGAGCTGTCCAGGTTCCTGGTGTTTTGAATAAAGAATTGAACAAAACTCACAGAGCAATAGAAGAACGGAGCGGTGCACAGATTTTCTGAAGACAGTTCAGAGTGGGAGTGTGCTCGAGCAAGTGTCTCCGGAGCCTGCCTAATTAGGATTTCTGTTGAGCTAAAGAAACAGCAACACCACCTGGTGCCCTTTAGCGGCCTCCGATTGGCTACAGCCCATGAAGAATTGGCCTGTGACCAATCAGAGGCTGAAGTGGCTTGTTATGCGAGTGAGGGTGTGGCCGATAAACTGCAGCTGCTGCTCCTGCTTCTACGAATTGGCTGCACCTGCTGAGTCCCGTTCCCCTAACTCCCTATTTTCCAGCCACACTCATGCTCTAGGAGTGCCCCTCACTTTAGGCTCATTATGACTAAAGAAGGGGAGCTGAGGACTTGTCATCGCTTCACTACAGAGAAAAGGGCATTAAAAGTATTTAATAAGCAGCCAGGCACAGTGGCTCATGCCTGTAGTCCCAGCTACTCGGAAGGCTGAGGCAGGAGAATCGCTTGAACCTGGGAGGCAGAGGTTGCAGTGAGCCAAGATTGTGCCATTGCACTCCTGCCTGGGCGACAAGAGGGAAACTGTCTCGAAAAAAAAAAAAGTAAGTAGTAAGCATGTGTTGAGTACTGTGGTGTTCCAGGCACTGTTCTAAGTCCTGGGGCGCAACAGTTTGAATGTGTCTCCTCCAAAATTCAGGTGTTGCCAATGGGACGTTGAGAGGCAGGGCTTTCAGGGGCGATCAGGCCGTGAGGGTCGCTCCCTGGTGAGTGGGATTAAGATCCTTCTAGAAGAGCTTTGCCCAGCATGTGGCTGGCTTGCCCTCCCAACCTCACCACGTGAGGACACAGCCTTCCTCCCCTCTGGAGGGTGCAGCCTCATTCGAGAGCCAGCCTGCCGGGGCCTTGATCCTGGACTTTCTAGCCTCCAGGACTGTGAGCATTACATTTCTGATCTTTATAAATTACGCAGTCTGTGGTATCCTGTTAGCGTAACATGAAACAAACTCAGACTTGGGAATACAGTGGGGGGCAAGGCGGGTGAGGACCCTGGTCTCCAGGAGCTCACGTGTTAGCAGATGTTAAACCCACTGCTGTACGTGCTCGAGCAGGAACATAGCTGAAAAGAGGTCGATTTTCAGCACGGACTCCGTCATCTCCCTGGACTCTGGCCAGCTTTTCTGCTCCTCACTCCGAGATGAAACTGCTTTCTATTTTGATCAGGCTCAGAGATTCCAGGCCCGATGCCGCTGACCTGCTCGATCTTCTGAGGTGGGCGGGCAGTGTCTGTAGGCTCCATCCCTGTATGGAATATCCCCGTCACCGGAGGCAATGGTGGCTGGTCCAGCGCGAGTCATCACTTTTCCCTGAGGAGAGGAGATGATCGCTCAGCTGTTCACAGCACTTTGCTCTGGCTTCATCATACCCTTTTCAGAAGTATCAGAACTCCCTTCAGGAAAATAAAAGGGTGCAGCCTCCAAAGGGGGCAACTGTTAAAAGCAGGAGGCACAGGCTGGGCATGGTGGCTCATGACTGTAATCCCAGTACTTTGGGAGGCCGAGATGCGCAGATCACCTGAGGTCAGGAGTTCGAGACCAGCCTGGCCAACATAGTGAAACCCTGTCTTTACTAAAAATACACACACACAAAATTTTTAACCAGATGCAGTGGCATATGCCTGGAGTCCCAGCTACTCAGGAGGCTGAGGCCGGAGAAGCACTTGAACCTGGGAGGTAGAAGTTGCAGTGAGCCAAGATCATGCCACTGCACTCCATCCTGAGCAACAGAGCAAGACTATCTCAAAAAAAAAAAAAGGGCAGGAGATGCTGTGTCTTTGTCCACCCAGGCTGCCGTCACAAAGTGCCATAGACCAGGCGGCCCATAAACAACAGAAATGTATTTCTCACTGTTCTGAAGGCTGGAAGTCCAAGATCAAGGCACTGGCAGATTCTGTGTCTGTGATGCCCTGCTTCCTTAATGGTAGGTGGCATCTCACTGTGTCCTCTTCTCACTGTTAGCCCCTTTTACGAGGGCAATAATGCCACTTAGGAGGGCGCCACTCAGGAGGGCTCCACCCTCATGACCACACCACCTCCCAAGGCCCCACTTCCTGAGACTAAACACTGGGAGTGAAGATTTCAGCAGGTGAATTTGGGGCCACAGCATTCAGCCCGTCACATCAGGGGAGGTGGGGCAGGGCCCTCTGGCTTGGAGGTCACTTTCCCAGCTTATAAACAGAGGCCTTGGGGACTGGCTGGCAGTGAGCCCACCCCGGGGCACCTGTTTGGAATCTCAGGTGATGGGTGTATTTCCTTCATCTCACCGGACTGCAGCTGTCCATCCAGTTGGGATTTGGATGCTGGGGGACGCTTGAGCTAAGTCAGGGTCCCCTGGACTCATGTTTTCCTCTGACAGCATTGAAGTGTCCCTGCTCCTGGGCAGCCCATACCTTCCTGCCCCTACCACCAAGGCAGCTGCCCTCTGGAGCTCAAGCTGGGGACTGAGGTTGTTCCCAGGGCTGGAAGACTCTTCCTGGAGTGTGATGGCTGGACATGTCCCAGCCTGGAGCTGGAGGAGGCTTTTCCAGCAGCCCCGCAGAGGCTGAGGCCCCTGGCAATGTGGCGCTGCCATGTGCCCCGGCCCCCAGGGCGTCAGGCCTGCCAAGGCAGGCTGCTGTGGCGGGACAGCGTTTGCTACAGTCTCTCAGGCAACTGCTTTGTATTCAGTGGGTATTTTCCTTGGCCTGTCACCAAAACACAGCTTGTCTTGGGGTGGAGGAAAACCAATGAAACAATTCTCAGGAACAAGGGGGCAGCTGTGGGGGAGAATCTAGGGGCAAAATCCCAGGGCAAAGACCATGGGCTGAGTGAGAGCCCCCTGTCTGTGCTCCTGGCACTGCCTCCATGTCCTGCCTGGAGCCAGACACTTGCCTTCATGCCTCAAGTCCTGCCTTAGAGCCTCCTCCATCAGGAAGCCTGCCTTGTTGTCCTCCATCTCCTAACTAACACTGTCCCCACAGGATGGGATGTGAGCTTCACACCAACAAGTAGGATTTGTTGTTTTGATTGGAGTTTGTGTTTGTTAAGGTGGTGCGACCCAGTTTTAAAGCAGTCTGCTCCAGAGGTGTGGGGATGAATGTTTCCTGAGCTCAGGATAACTTTTGGTTGTTTTAGCATTCTAAAAAAATTCTTTTTTATTTTTCTGAGACTGAGCCTGTCGCCCGGGCTGGAGTGCAGTGGCTCAATCTCAGCTCACTGCAACCTCTGCCTCCCGGGTTCAAGCAATTCTCCTGCCTCAGCCTCCTGAGTAGATGGGATTACAGGCAGGCACCACTATGCCTGGCTAGTTTTTGTATTTTTAGTAGAGACGGAATTTCACCATTTTGGCCAGGCTGGTCTTGAACTCCTGACCTCAGGTGATCCACCCACCTTGGCCTCCCAAAGTGCTGGGATTACAGGTGTGAGCCACTGAGCCTGGTTAATGTATCTATAGCATTTTTAGGCTCTCAGCAAAATGGAGAGGAAGGTACAGAGAGTTCCCTTAGACTCCCTGAACCCCCTGTATCCTCCCCACCTAGAGTGGTGCATTTGTTACAACTGGCGAGCATCTGTTGACCCATCATCATCACCCAAGTCCAGTTTACCCTAGGGCTCACTCTTGATGTGTGCTGTGCATTCAGTGGGTTTGGACAAAGGTGTAATGACATGCATCCAACACTTCAGTATCATACAGAGTAGTTTCACAGTCCTAAAAGTCCTCTGTTGGTTCCTCCTTCCCCACTAAGTCCTGGAAGCACTGGTGGTTCTGTCTCCATAGCTTTGCCTTTTCCAGAATGTCACAGAGTTGGAAACATACAGAGGCAGCCTTTTCAGACTGGCTTCTTTCACTTAGTAACCTGCATTAAGTTTCCTCCATGTTTTTTCATGGCTTGACAGTTCGTTATTTTTAGTACTGAATAATATCCCATCGTTGGGGCTGGGCACGGTGGCTCC